TTTTTAGACTTACAAGGAATTTGCCTTGGTGTTTGGTGCACAACACAGCACTTTCAGTTCAATTACATTTTATTTACATAGCGCCACATCACAACAACAGTTGTCTCACAGCGCTTTCCAAACAGAGCAGGTCAGACCCTACTCTGAAGTTAATTACAGAAACCCAACAATTCCCACCATGAGCAAGCACTAGGCGACACAGGCAAGGAAAAACTTCCTTTTAACAGGAGAGAGAGAGAGGGAGAGAGAGAGAGAGGGAGAGAGAGAGAGGCCGCCAACACTGCAACACGTAGACTAGATGAAAAATGGCAATGATATTAATACTAATGATGATGGTAGAAGTTCTCATAGAACTTCTATGAGAAGCAAGAAATAAAATGTAGAAATAAAAATATAGGACAGAAATGATAAAACCGAAAAATACAATCTTTAAAAATATAGATCCGAATGTGCAAATGAACAATTGAAGCTCTCAGAGGAGGGTTGTCATGATGCTAAAATGTTCAACTGGATACCGATACTCTGGAAAATACTCTATACCATTTTCGATACCACAAGGATAAAAACTAAGACCCCAAAATTTAACTGAGTTTTGACAGGTTAGTGTCTTTGGTTTCAAACTGACCTGTTACTGATGTTATGGTGGCCCACATTAATAACCCTGACCCTAAACCTAAACATAACCCTCCATCCTTCATAATTGTGAGAAATATCTGATATAAATAATACTATAACAACACATTTATGACAAAACTGACTCTTAGGAACTAATAGGAACAGAAAATACACTAAAGAAAACAATCGCCTAAAAAAAAAATAGCTCTTTATTCTCTTTATTATTCTATAAACTGTAAATATTTTTTGGTTAAACTTGTTTGGACTCATTGTACAAACCTATGTAACATCCACTATTTTAACATAATATTATGGATAGAGTTTAATTCAGTGTTTGCAAGATTAATTTCACTATTTTTAAATTAATGTCTATATCGCCATGAAGCAATTAGGATTTTCTTGCCTGGGATCTTCCTATTGGTGACCTAATCAAAATGGCCGACTTGGATGTGGGCGGACTTGACTATTGAAAGCATGTTGTTATTAGCCATTAGCCACAGCTAGCAGTTCAAGGCTAACGTCTAGTTAAAAATCATAAACAACGTAAATAAATACATAAATAAATCTGAGTAGTTTCATGTTTTCTTTTCTGAAAGAAACTCAATTTGTTCACATGTTTTTCCTGCCTGCGTTTAATCGTTTCTCCTTTGTGTTGCAGCCTGTTGCTCATCAGGGTTTTAAATATCTTTATTTTTATTAACATAAACTGGACGCTCACACAGAGCCAACTGTTCTGGCCAACAGGTCAAATAAATAATCTCCCTCTGGGATTATTAAAGTATTATTCAAAGTATTAAAGTATTTCTGATTCTGATATGAAGCGCTCCTATCTGCTGCATTTAAAAGAAAAGTAAAAAAAAAACAAAAAAACAAAACAAATAAATGAATAAAATATTAAACTTTGAAGATCCAGATTACATAGCAAGTTTTTCTGACTCAAAAAGCCTCTGGACAACTCTGTAACCTCTCAAAAAAGATGGAATTCCTATTTAAAACGCTAAAAATCTGAGTTTTGGGCCCATAGAGAGGCAGTGACTCCATCCTTCTTTAGGCCCCGCCCCCTTCCTGATAACAGCTCAGCATTGGTGGTTCAGTGGTAGAATTCTCGCCTGCCACGCGGGAGGCCCGGGTTCGATTCCCGGCCAATGCAGTTACTTTTTTTCCTCCGTTTTTCTGAGTAATAACATAGTAACAACACATTTGTGATAAATCTGACTTTTAAAAAGTAGAAAATACCTATAGAAATAGAAAACACACTAAAGAAAACAATTGCCTTTTTAAAAACAACTCTTTATTCTATTTATTATTCTATAAACTGTAAATATCCGATATAAATAATTTATAAAAACACATTTAGGACCAAACAGAAAATACACTAAAGACATCAATCGCCTTTGAAAAAACAACAACTCTTTATTATTCTATAAACTGTAAATATCCAATATAAATAATTCTATAACAACACATTTACACTAAAGACATGAATCGCCCTGAAAAAAACAACTCTCTATTCTCTTTATTATTCTATAAACTATAAATATCTGATACAAATAATCCTATAACACATTTATGATCAATCTAACTTTTAGGAACTAATAGAAACAGAAAATACACTAAAGACATCAATCCCCCTTAAAAAACAACAACTCCTTATTCTCTTTATTATTCTATCAACTGTAAATATCCGATATAAATAAAATCTATAACAAAACATTTATGACCAAACTGACTTTTAGGAATTTATAGAAACAGAAAATACATTAAAGACATCAATCGCCTTGAAAAAAACAACTCTTTATTCTCTTTATTATTCTATAAACTGTAAATATCCGATATAAATAATCCTATAACTACACATTTATGACCAAACTGACTTTTAGGAATTTATAGAAATAGAAAATACACTAAAGATATCAATCGCCTTGAAAAAAACCCAACTCTTTATTCTCTTTACTATTCTAAAAACTGTAAATATCCAACATGAATAATCCTATATCTGTGTAACAACACATTTATAACCAATCTGACTTTTAGGAACTAATAGAAACTGAAAATACACTAAAGACATCAATCGCCTTTGAAAAAAAACAACAACTCTTTATTCTAACTATAAATATCCAATATAAATAATCCTATAACAACACATTTATGACGAAAATGACTTTTAGGAACCTATAGAAATAGAAAATACACCAAAAGACACGACCCGCCTATAAAACTGAAGTCTTTACTCTATAATCTATAAATATCCAATATAAATAATCCTACAAAAATCATCCAGAGACCAAAAAAAACAACCCAAAAACCCCAAACAAACCCAAAACCACCACAGACATATTTTCCCTGCTCCTCTGATCCCTTTTCTTTATTCTGCTCTCTGCTTTTCCCTTTTGGAGCGTTATTTAAGGGCAGAGGTGGAGGCACGGCTTAATCCACTAATCTGGTCTCCATCCAGACCTCATTTGCTCCAACATCTGGACAGATGTTGAGAAAGAGACGGTGGCAGCCGGTAAATGCTCACGGGAGCAGATGGAAACGCACACCTGCTTTACCTGATTCTCAATCTGCTGGAAAACGCGATTAAAATGGCACATTTTCAGATCCAATTCACATTAAAGCCAGAAACCGTCTCAGTTTACAACTTACCTTCATCTACAGGCGGCTTTGTTTTATATTTAAAGAGCCAAATGGGTTAAAGTGGCTCATTATTAGCTTTCATAGTCGAATAATAAAGATTATTTGATAGAAAACTGACATTTATGGAGCATCTGTTTGGAGAGAATTTAATTAAATGTTGTTGTTGTGAGTGGCCAGCAGGGGGCAGCAGAGCTCCATTCAGAATCAGAATGAGGTTTATTGCCAAGTAGGTTTTTGACTTACAAGGAATTCTCCTTGGTGTTTGGTGCTTCTATGAGAAGCAAGGAAATACAATGTAGAAATAAAAATATAGAACAGAAAATATAAAACTAAAAAGTACAATCTTTATATCTTTAAAAATATAGAAGAGAGAAGGTTCAAAATTGGCCCTTTTTTGGGGTAAAAAAAACGTAACATTTACTTTTATTAACTGGTTGGAAAAACGTTGTTTTTTAAACAGATAAATTAAAAGACATAAAAAGACACTAAATCTTTCAGCATTAAAAGTAAAATAATCTTAAAGAGATTATTAATTTATGCAGTAATAATAAAAGGAGAGGATTATTAAAATTTTTCTACCAAAACATTGCAAATATTTGTAGTTAAATCTTTATGGTGCTTTTAAAAAAGGCAGACTTATTGGCTCCGATTTACCTTTTTTTTAAAATATATTTTATAAGCTGCCAAAGAAATTAAGATAATCAGGTGGTTTGTTTACTTTTGATGTTTTCTTTTTCACTTTTACCTGTTTATACTAACATCTGCCTTTTTCTCATAGAAAATATCTCTATTATACCACATGTGACAGAAATATATGTAAAATGTCCATTCATGTTCAGTATGAAGGAGAAAATGAAAAAGTTGTAGGATATTTTTAAATAGAATAAGTAATAACAGACCAAAGAAGACAAAAACTGGGCAGTAAATCTATTCTCCTAAAATTTAATTTGGAGCTAATTTGGAGTTTTGTTTGGTCATTTCCGAATGTCTCTGGTATTTTTTGGTCTTATTTGAGGAAACACACACTCTGGTCCAGCCATTTTTTGCATGAATCCTTTCCACCCCTCCTTTAACTCATTGACTGGCAGCCATTTTCAGAACAGACAGTCCCATACTGCCAGAGTTTTTTGAGCATTTTGACTGATTTTTCAAGAGCCACAGAATAGTTTGTGCTATGACTATGTAAACACCGAACACACCAAAAGAAAGAGTAGACTCTCTTCTTTCATCAGGAAAAAAAAATTGTTTCTACCTTATTCCGTTCTTCCTCGACGTGCGTCTCACCGGCGACATGTTCTCTCATAGCGAACCATTACCTTTTTCATATTTGCCTACAGTCTATGCTCATCTCCCATCAAAAGTGGCACTGCCACCTAGAGGGTCAATTTGTTACTACATACTCTGTCTAGAAGCCTGATATTTACGGACAAGCTTTAGCGGATCGTCCCCCAGCCACTCTCGTTGAAAAACATAAAAGACGTCTATAGACGTCTTTGGCAGTCAACGGTTGTATTTGAATTGACGTCTATAGACGTCTTTTGCAGCCAATAAGTTAAAAACAAACCCCCCCACCCTCACAGTGGTTTAGCCCAACTCACCCATGACCCGGGCCTGAACTTTGACCCTGACGGAGACGGCGTCGTTGGTCTCGCTGAGCAGCAGCGCCTCCTCGCAGAGGACCCCCTCCTGCAGGGCCATGTACTCGCACTTCACCCTCAGGCCTCCTGGGAACACACGGCACACATCTGGGCACGTGCACGCCCGCGCAGAGCACGTGCACGCCCGTGTAGAGCCGTGCACGTGCCGGGAGCCAAAGGGCAGAGGCCATTCTCCGGTTACAGACACGAGGTGGGAAACGGCTCCCGGAGACATTAAAGGAGAAGCTAACGGTCTAAATATGTATCTAAATATATATCACACAGGGGCCAGATGTTTGGTTAAAGAGTGTGTCTAGTCTAGATAAAACACCTGGCTCCCTTGTGGTCTAACAGAATGTCCACACAGGGGCCAGATGTTTGGTTTTTATAACCTCTCTTACCACACAGGGGCCAGATGTTTGGTTTAAAGAGCCTCTATGTCCACATAAGGGACAGATGTTTGGTTAAAAGAGCTTATCTTACCACACAGGGGCCAGATGTTTGGTCTAAAGAGTCAGTCTGACCACAAATGGGCCAGATGTTTGGTTTTTAGAGTCTGTCTAAACCAAACATCTGGCCCCTGTGTGGTCAAATATATTGTCCACACAGAGGCCAGATGTTGGGTTTTAAGAGTCTGTATGTCCACACAGGGGCCAGATGTTTAGCTTTTAGAGCCACTCTGTACACAAAGGGGCCAGATGTTTGTTTTTTAGATGCTCTCTGACAACATGGAGCCAGATGTTTGGATCCTATCTGTCCACACAGCCGCCATGTTGAGTTTTAAAGATCCTATATGACAACACAGGGGCCAGATGTTTGGTGTAATGTTTATGTTTATGCATTAAGCAGACGCTTTTATCCAAAGCGCCTTACAGTGTAAACACAATATTACATTTATCACCACTATGACAATAAGCTATACAATAAGCTATTTTTAGAGCCCATATGACCACACAGGGGCCAGATGTTTGGTTTTTAGAGTGTCTGACCAAACAGGGGCCAGATGTTTGGTCTAAAGAGCCCATGTGTACAGACATGGAGCCAGATGTTAGGTTAAAAGAGTCTGTATTTACACTTAGGGGCCAGATGTTTGGTTTTTATAGCCTCTCTGGCCACAGATGGAGCCAGATGTTTGGTTAAAATAGCCTCTCTGAACACATAGGATCCAGATGTTGGGTTTAACGAGGCTGTATGTCCACACAGAGGCCAGATGTTGAGTTTTAAAGATCCCATATGACCACACAGAGGCCAGATGTTGGGTTTAAAGAGCCTCTATGACCTAAAAGGGGCCAGATGTTTTGTCTAAAGAGCCCATATGACCACACAGGGGCCAGATGTTTGATTTTTAGAGCCTATCTAACCACAAAGGGTCAGATGTTTGGTTTTTAGAGCCTCTGTGACCACACAGAGGCCAGATGTTTGGTCTAAGGAGGTTTCTCACCCTCTGGCGCGGGCGTGATGTCGGTGATCCTCAGGTGTGGGCTGGGGACGGGGGCGGGGCACACGTCCCGGCCCAGACCAGAAACCTCCGGCAGCGTGAACACGATCTCGTAGCGGTGCTGAGTCTTCAGGAACCCGACCTGCAGCAGGCAGAGAGGAGCTGAGGATTAGGGCGGTCAAAAGCATCGATACGCAAAAAAGTATCAATACTAAATCGTATCCGGATACGATACTCATTTTCAAAAGCATCGACTTTTGAAACCATTTTAAACTAAACTTATTTATTTCTCACAATTATAAAAAGTGGAAGGTTAGGGTTAGGGTCAGGGGTTAAGATTAGGGTTAGGTTCAGGGTCAGGGTTAGGGTTAGGGTTAGGGTTAATTTAAGGTTAGGGGTCAGGGTTAGGTTTAGGGTTGGGGTCAGGGTTAGGGTTAAATTTAGGGTCGGGGTTAGGATTAGGTTTAGGGTCAGAATTAGGGTTAGGGTCAGGGTTAGGTTTAGAGTCAGGGTCAGGGTTGGGGTTAATTTAGGGTTAGGGGTCAGGTTAGGTGTAAGGGTTGGGTTTAGGGTCATTAATGCGGGCCACCATAACATCAGTAACAGGTCAGTTTGAAACCAAAGACACT